AGACAGCCCTCTGGATTCCCTCTCTCCCGACCAGGGCTGGCAGCATGTGCAGTGCCCCTGTGAGGCTTGGAAAGACCCATCCCTCCAGCAGATAAAGCCCCCAGGAGGAGGGCAGGCAGAGCCCACTGTCTGTGACAAAACCCCCTTATCCTCCGGGGGGAGCCTGGAGGGCAGAAGCTGTGGATTTCAGCCACTCCATGGCCAGGGGCTGTGTGCAGACCATCCCCTGCACACCACAGGCACCCACAGGTCTCCACAGTGACCCCTTCAGCAGCCCCAAGGCAAGATGAGGTCACAGCACGGGTCTCCAGCCCTGTGGCAGCCCCTTGCCATGCAAAGGGGAGGAGGCCACCTGCAACCCTGCTGCCTGAGGCAGGGGCGTGTACTATGACCACCCAGGAGCACTGGACCCGGAGCATCAGCCCAGGGGCACTCACCCTGTGTCAATGTAGCAGTAAAGGACGCGCAGAGCCAGAGAGCCAGCGTCGGAATCCAGATCACCAGCATTTCCCAGGGAACGGGCCCCTGGCTGCCCGCCTTCCCCCGTCAAGAGGGACCAAGAAATGAAAGCCTCCCAGGAAGGGATCAGCTATAAAAAGGACCTCAGAGAACTTTGCCTTGAAGAAGAGCAGTGCCTGTCCCAGGGTAGAGGTGAGGTGATGGCGTTGAGCAGGTAGCACGTGGTGACCACGGGGAGTTAAATGAAGGGCAGCCTGTCCACCCTCCTCCCTCATAAGTCCTGGAGAAGTCACTGCGCTGAGCCAGGGTCCCTCTCTCTCAGCGGAAGTCACAGGCACTGTGGGTGGGGCAGTGCAGGAGGGAGGGATGGAAGCTAGAGGTGTGAGCACACCACGGGTGACAAGAGTTGGGGGCCAAGAAGCACCAGGGAGCGGGTGACCATGGAGGGAGAAGTTCAGAACCATGGAAGGGGCAGCTGGCAACAGACCAGACCAAGTGAAAGACCCTCCACTCCCACCCCGGAGAAGCCCCTCTCTCTTCCAGCCATCCCTCCCCATTCCCCGCCTCGACATGGTCCTTTCCAAATGTCCAGGGCTTTCCCTGGGGTCCCCAGCTTCCAGCCCTTCTCCTGGGCAGGGTGCCCACTCACACCTGAGACTTTATGGTCCTGGTCTCCACCCCTGGCCAGACACAGAGGTGACGAAAGGCCATGGCCCGTCCCTGCCCAGGGCAAACATCACAGGGGCCTCTCCCAAGCCCGCACCCAAAGACCCAAGGGGACATGTTGTTTCTGAACACCCTCGACTCCTCAGGCAGGCCTGACTGCCTGCAACAGCAGGAACAGAAGGGCCCTGTGCCAGCACAGACAGGCTCTGCTGTGTGCGTTTGCTATCAGGGTTTGGGAGCCTTGTGGGGAATCCAGATCTTTGGGGAGGCCCAGCTTTACCCATCCTTGTAAAGGGTGACTGGACCAGGCAGCCCTAGCCCCTGGACCACCCAACTCCCTGACCCGGCACCAGCGGTCTAATTGCTCCCTAAGCCCCCAGTGTCAAGGTCAGGGCAGTGGTGGGGGTGGGGAGAGCACGGACGACAAAGCCCAAGGGGCCCCTGCCCCGAGTCACTCCCCAACAAAATGGGTTCCCCCTAACCTCTGTGTTTTCTATGAGGAACGTCAGGGCCCCCAAGGGCTGCCCACAGACCCCTTCCTTCCTCCCTGGGAGTCACAAGTGATCCCAGGATCCTCCTACTGCACCGCCTCTGGAAATCCCTGTTCTCCAATCAGGTGGAGAGCACTGCGGGGTGAAAGGGAGACAGACAGAGAGCAGTTTCTTTTACAGTAAACTCTATATTGTGTTCACATGGAGATCTGGAGATGTGCCGACTTCCGGTCCCCGAAGCCGATCTTCGCTGCCAAGGAGATTGAGGATTTCAGGACTCAGAGTTATGGCAGGAATCAGGAATCAATCGAGGTGACATCAGGGAGAGAGGGACGGAGGAAGGAAAAGGGAGGGGATGGGTTTAAAAGGCAGTGGTGAGGTGAGAGGGGAGAAAGATCGAAGGGAGTGAGGAGGAGGGGGACTGAGGGGGCTGCCTTTCCTTGGGGACTGGGGAATTCATGCCCTGAACCACCGAGGGGGCTCCAGGGGTGAGAGAAAGAGGTGGAGAATAAAGAATCGGGCAGCAGGGTGATGGGGGGAACAGCAGCTGGGGTATTTAGGGCAGGGGGAGTGGGGGGCAGAACCAACTAATGGACTGGCTCAGAAGGGGAGAAGATACAAGGAATGAGAGCAAGAGAAACAGGGAATTGAGCAACGGGGTGATGGGGGGAACAGCAGCTGGGGTACCCTAAGACACAGAGGCTATCTATACCTTGCTAGGGACCAGGATGTGAGGAGAGGAGGGAGGATTTAGGGCTGGGGGACTGGGGGGCAGGATGCTTGAAGGAACGGTCAGAAGGAGAGGACATCTAAGGAATGAGAGCAAGAGACACAGCAGGGAGTTAGATCAGGAGAGGACAGGAGATGGGATGGGCTGCAGGCTGCCTCCAGGTTCAAAGTAAGAAACAGGCAGTAGGGAATTGAGAGAAAATAGGAACCAGGGCCGGAGACCAGGCGAAGGACATGAGGATTGGAGGATCCGAGAGAGGCAATGGCAACATGAGGGCTGAGACGGGAGGGCAGAGTAGGACCCAGAATTGACCAAGTCCATGTGGTTTACACAACAATGGTGTGAGATATCACACAGGAATGTTGTACCCATTTTGCAGGTGAGGAAACTGAGGCTCCTTACTGACTTGCCCAAGGTTCCACAGTGGAAGAGCCTGCACCTGAACTGTGTCTCCTGGTGGGTTTCAGCCAAGTTGGAAAGACAAGGATGGGATTTGGGGGAACAGTCTCATTTTGCCCAAGAACAGCAGGTGCCTGGGCTGCTCCCGTTCTGGGGCCACCACTTGAAATGGACGCAGTGCAGAGCCTTGTGTCCCGGGCAGGGCAGAGGGGATGGTGACGGGGCCCGCAGGGCTCACACTGAGGATGAGGTCATCTCGGGTCTCTTGATGTGCACCTGTCACAGAGTCACAGTGAGGGAAGGGAAGGCAGAGCCACTGGTTTGGGCTGACACTGCTGATCCGAGCCCAGCCCCCTCCTTGCCCTGGTGGGGGTTGGGGAGGGAATCTGGAATGGAGGCTGGGAGAGTTCCTTGGGGTCCCCCTCTTTAGCCCCTCACCTTCATAGTGGTGTCCACGTTCTCCAAGGCCACACGGAAATTTTCATCCTTGTCTAGAGAGAGAGAGAGAGGGAGAGAGAAGAGGGGAGAAAGAGGAGGGGAGAGGGACGGGAGGGAAGGGAGAGGGGGACAGAGTAAATGCGAGGAAGGCAGGAAGGGCGTCTGTCCTCGCAATGTCCTCAGTGATGCCCAGGAAAGCCCCTGCCTGCTTCTCCAGGAGGTGGGACTCACCTGTTCCGTCGACCTCGAAACCCCAGTTTGAAAAAGTGCCCACGACTTCCTCATCCCAGGTCTCGAACCATTTCCTGTCCTGGTCCCAGGACCTAGGTGGGGCCGCCACGCGGTCAGACACAGCCGGTCCGCCTGGGGCCCCTCGGCCGCCCTCGCACCCCGGCCCCATCTTCCGCGCGCTCACCGGTCTAGGTACTGGCAGCTCCACAGTCCGGAGCGCACTGCCCAGACACCCAGCGCTAGTAGCAGCAGCAGCAGCAGCGCGGCGCCCGCCGTCAGGCCCCCGACCAGCGCCCTCCAGTGGATGGCCACCTCGCAGCGCGGGCCGGAGAACCAGTACGTGTCCGTGGAGTAGCAGCTGCGGGAGATCGCAGAGTCAGACCCTCTTCACCTCTGGACTCGGGGTCCACGCGTGCACCTGGGCCCCACGGGGGCGGGCGAGGGGACGGGGTCCCAGCCTAGGGCAGCGGGGGGTTCCACCCTATGGCAAGCGGGGGAGTTCCACCCTAGACAAGGGGCCGGGAATCCACCCTAGAACGAGGGGACGGGGCTCTACCCTAGGTAACGGGGCGGGATTCCACCCTAGATCAAGCGGGCAGGGCTCCACCCTGGAAGGAGGGGGCGGGGTTCAACCCTAGAACAAGGGGGACGGGGCCCCACCCTAGAATGAGTGGTCCCAGAACGAGGGGACTGGACTCAACTCCATTAGGGGGACGGGGCTCCACCTTAGGGCAAGG